GGAAAGAGGCAAATTTGAGCAGACTGAAATACATAGTCCAGTAGACTCATGTACAAGGCAATTGGTAATTTTGCAATTCTAAGTGAGTACACATGCACATCTGTGGGGCTTTACCTTTATTTCAGGCGTGAGGATCATGTCAAACTGATTGTAGAACTCCTTCGGATTAGAGAGCTGGTGTTCCTTAGCTGTTACCAGGAACTTCTCAATTTCAACGAGTGCAGTTTCAGCTCCCTCTTGTGACTGGCACTTGTCCACTGCTTGGGAAGCTAAGAGGTAGATTCCAGCTTCGCACCATTGGCTTGCCTTTAAAGAAAAGCAGGGCAACAAGGACTCCATCAGCACTGACGTGTTCAGGAGTGTTGCCTCCACTCCATGAAATACAGATTTGCCCTTACATGTCATTTACATGTCACTAAAGAGAACTAATGTTACTTCATAGCAACCAACAGTTCCTGGCCACAAGTCACCCCATCTAGATATGTAGAACAGTAGCAAGTTCACTTCAGCCCTCATGGCTTAGATGGTCCAGTAGCATGTTCAATTATGATATTCTGAGCAAAGAGCAGAAGTGCTACTGTGGTTGCTGCAAACTGAATCTGTCAGCTGCACTACCTCATTTTGGTCTTCAGTCACAGAATTATTGAAACCAAAACAAATATTAGAACCATATCAAAACTCCCCCAAACTTCTTAGGCCTAAGCCTAAACCTAAGCCTTAAGCCTGAGCTTATAAAAACATTAGTTTTCAGCAGAACCTTACCAGGGCTGCTATTTGAGAAGGCTCACTCACCTTATCTAATTGCTTATGCAACTCAAGAGACTTTCCCAAAATATCATACTTTTTCTTGGACTCATTGGTAAAGTCATCACAAATACGCCTGAGTTCAACACACTTTGGTCTAATGGAGTCAACTGCATAATGGTTGTTTTGGATGAGCTGTTCTCCATGGAGAGCTAGAGACTGGGCCTTCTCCAAAGGTTCCTGTGAAATCAGTGAGAAGAAATCCAGTTAGATCCATGCTTAATAAAGACAATCCATCTCTGTAGTCCCTGCTGTAGCCTGGAGGTAAAGGTTTGGGATATTAATCTAGCTGATATTTCTTATTTTATGTTTACACTGAAGACAAACTTTGTTGTCAGTGAGTGTACTGAAACACCAAAGATTCCATCTGAACATCAGGAAATAATTTTTTTTATTGTGAGAGTGACTGAGCACTTGAACAGGATGCCCAGGAGGTTGTGGAGGGTCTATTCTTGAAGATATTAAAAAGCTATCCGGACAGCCTGTCCTCCTGGGCAGCCTTCTCGAGCAGGGGCAATGAACAAGGTGACTTCCAGAGGTCCGTTCCATCCTTAATCATTCTGTGATACCTGTGATCAGGAACTGTCTGAGTAGAATGACCTTAAAAGCCATCAGGCCAAGGTAACCCGTTAAGTATTCAGAGCTTTTCGAATTCCGAAGTTGGACCTAACCTTTCCTGTATTGAAATACCAATATTTGAACTGGATTCTAGCTTTCCGAGTAATGAACTGAAACTACTGGGTGTAAACAACCCTGGCTTCTGGAAATTAGTCTGTGAGATTTGCAATTTAACATGATGACTCATGAGAAGAGAGTAAGCATGGTGTTAAGGCCAGTGACAGAGAAGTATCTAGAAGATCATGTCTGTAGCAGCTAGAATACTATGCAAACCTGTCCTTTCTCTTCCAGTTGTTTCTGTTCCCTTAGGAGGTGCTCCACTCGAGTCACACTGTCTCCAATGTCAGCAAAACCTGCTTGTGCTTCCATGAGATTATCCAATACCAGTTTTACCTAACAAACAACAACAAAAAAAGCATAAAACAAACAAACCAACAATCAGAAAAACCCACCCAAACCCCCATCACAAGATACTAATAAAATTCTAACAAACCTATGACTTCTAAACATTAACCTACATCTTTTAGAGGAGACTGCTTGTCACATTTAGCCTTTCAGCTCATTGCAAAGTGGAAAAGCCAAGGAATAAAGCAAAAATCAACTATTATTCAAAGAGTTGCCCTGCTTCTCTCTATTTAGGTGCACGTAGTTTTGAAGACGTGTAACTCCAGAGTCTGTATTACTCCAGAATGTGTATTACTCCAAACTCGGGGCTGACAGTTGGACTCTCTGAACTGTATTCCATTGACTCTGGTGGGATTGACAACTTACCATCACAGAAGTGATATTTGGTAACATCACACATAAATGCAAAATTATTTATCAAGAAGTTGTTTCACATTTTGGCCTACCAGGCTGGCAGTTTGTTCACTGTGCCTTATTCAAATATTGTAAGATATCTGAGAGCAGTTAATAATTTTACTTGTGAACAACCATTTCCTGTTTCATAATGAGAGGCTTCTTTCCCATCCTCCTTTTTGGATTGCCAGTCTAAGTATGGGTAAAATTTCACCTTGTTTACCAGACAAGGCCAGACAGAATGAACAAAGGAACTACCTCTCTAAAATCATGTTCAAAGTGTCGAAGCTGCAGACATTGTTCTAGTTTTAGGTGATGCTTGGTCCAAAATTGATCAAAAGCCTTTTCTGTTTCATCCAGCTGAGCCAACAACCTGTTAAGAAATCAGAATGAAATGAACCATATTTCCTATGGTTAATTTCTTTTAAGTTATACCAGTTGATGGCAGAAAGTAGAGTAGGGACATGGTGGTGAGCCTACACCCATGTAAGAAGGCTCTGTGTCAACTTTCCCTTAAGCAAAAGAGAATGGAATTTGCAGTAGGACAGGCAGGAGTGTAACTGATCAGTGTCAATTATATGGATCCACTGTGGCAGTTGCAGTCCTTCCTCTTGACCTGCAACAGGAACCCGGAGCTGTTCCATGTGTTAGGAGCTAAAGGGAGTTGTCCCAGCTTCCACCTAATTCTTCAAAAACTATTTAACCCCAGGCTAATTCAGATTCAACATGGTGCAATTTTTATTCTAATGAATGTTTGCAGCTGAACTCTACAACTTGTTCATTTAATTCAGCTATCAGAAATAGACAAGAATTGAATAATTTGTTCCCAGTTCATTAAAACCAACATATTAGAAGCTCATAATGCCTCCCATGGACATTGTTCCACTTTGTGTAAATGATAAAGCTTTTATTCACAAATAAATTAGTATCAAGGTGTCATATTGTTGAGTAAAATCTCTGACACCAGCCTAGTGAGTCATCCTCACAGTCTCTCAGGAATCTATTAATTATATTTCAAAATAGAACAGTTTAAACAGAAGAAATATGAAAAGGAAGTATTAAATATTCTATATTTATTTAGGTGGGCAGTCTTTGGGCAGGCAGGGGATGAGGCCTGATCTCCTACAAGCCCAGTGAGTGCTGGAATCATCAAGTTTTTGGGGCAAACAGCAATAGCTCCCTCCTGTTCATCTCAAAAACAAAGTTCTGTTTTCACTCTATCCCTGAAAAATGTGGTTTTAATCAAAGCTGAATTCAGGATGAATTTGCACATTCCTTTGGGATGACTGTTCAAAGGATTTTAAAGTATTCAGTGAAAAATATTAGCTCAGCTGTACTTTTGGCAGCTTTGTTCCCAGTGAATGCAGACACACTGAAACACTAGCATGACATTTCTCTTTCCACTGCATCACATGGCATAGCAGAAGCTTCTACACAGTGACTAAAAGTTTTATGGTAATAACTAGCATTGTAGGAAGGAATAGGGATTTCTCTCTCTGCAGCTGTGAAACATATACTCTGTTTCAGAGTATAATCTTCATCTGTTCTTCCCCCCAGTTTCCACTGACATGCACAAGCACATACCCTCTCATCTCCCAAGAATTCAGATACCACTTCCTAACCAGGCATTAACGTTTGAAGGAGGCATATGTTATGAGGAAGGTCAGTCCCACATTCATCTTCAGCCAGGTAGTTAGTGGTCCAACCAAACATTTCAAAGAGATTCAGGACTCGTTTGAACTTGCCTTGACAGTTTGATCAAGTAACTTCCTCAGAGCTATTCCCTGCTCTGAGTTACCTGTCCAATAAATGCCAAAGAGCTGAACTAGTAGGAATTTATAATCTGTATATTTAAATCACTTAAATTACACTTGTATTTCTTAGGAATAAATTAGCAATTTGCACAAGGTAATGCAGCTTCACTGACCTTTCTACTGTTGCCACATTTTCCAGTTCATCTGGACTGAGTTTGCTGTTGGCACTTCGGGTGACTGGTTCCCTAATGCATGTCAGTAGGGTGGCCCCCTGCTTCACAGCTAGTTTCAGCTCATCCTGAGGGGAAAAAAACAACAAACAATTAAAAAAAAGTATGTGCTTATTCTAACAACACTCATTTCTCTTTGATGGACAAGTAATGCAAAAAGAGGATTCTTTTTTAGATATTAAATACTTGGAACAAAATATAAATGCTTACCAAAGAGGGTATGTCTTTCTAGAAATGCAGAGACTACATCTATTCACTTTGAATAGTAGAATTATTCTGAAAACAGGAATAGTACATAACTTCCAAGCAGACTGCATGTCTGACCAAGCAACTTGCAGAATAAATTATTCTACCACAAACTGAACGTGTGCCACAGATTATTCAGTGAGCTGAGAGACTGTGCTGGAACATTGCACTTCTTAATGGAATTTCCTTAAATAACATTGTGACATGCTGAGCCATAGTGTGACAGCTATCAAGGAATTGTCCACAGAAGGTGTTTTCCCAGCATGAAAGATGAGCAAGGAAATCAACAATGAGGGCCAAACATTAACACACCAGCTGAGAAGTCCCCACATCACCACACACTTCTTGCACAAAACTTGTGCCAATATAGCTGAAGAACTTGTGTTTAACCTAGAGTGTTTGTTGACAGGAGTAATGTTTTCCTCTGAGCCTTACTCTGCAAAACTAAACATGCCCCAACTGTTTGGTTTGGGTTTTGTTTATTCTTTGTTTGTTTGTTTTTTAAACCTGAGAGTCATCATGTAGTTAGATCAATCTTTCTCAATTCCTGGCTTATCCTCACAGATATTCTCTACATCTGCTTCAGTGTGAGTTCATCCTGAACTGATAGACTGATAGACTCTTCATCAGGAGCCTGTGCTATTCCAGATGTGATCCATCACACCTTCTCATACAGTAGAAGTGACATTTCCCTGTTCTATCATTCCTGAAGCTGTAAAAAGTATTTTTTTTCACAGTTGAATCAAATTGACCTCTTGAACCCAGGTTTCTCTCCTCTTCAGTAGTTTCCAGGACTCCCAAATGAAGGCAAAAAATGTTGTTAAACCAAACCCCATATATTATTATGCTGATGGAGCTATCATGAGACAACATTCACCTTCAGCTTGCTATGGTGGTCAGTGTGTGCAGAGAGGAGCTCCTCTGTGCACTGCACATCGTTGGGAAGTTCAGTCTCTGCTAGATCTGTTCCAAAGGTCTGTAGCATCTGTGCTGTTGTTTTTACTGTCATTGCAAAGTTTTCAATAGCCTGGAAAAGCAAGAATATAAAGTCACTGACTGGCTATTAACGCTTAGTCTTTTACCTGTGCTTAGTCCCTCACTCACTGTGCTGCAAAAGTATGACATGCCTGAAAGGTGACCATGTTGCCCTTTTTGGGGTGAATATGCTAAAAGTTGCAAATTAAACCTTGTGCCACAAAGTATCTTTTCAAAGGCCTGCAAGTATTGTCTCCATGAACCAGCTGGGGAACTCCCAGAGCTTAACAAACATCATGAAACCACAGAGGACATCAGCTTCAAAGCCAAGACTGGAACTTCAGATCCTCTGCCCATGCTTGCTGGCAAATTCTGCTGTATTTAAAATTTTAATGAAGGCTTTACTTCAGTTGAGGAGACACCAAAAGTATATAGGGCAAAGCCTTTTTACATTTATATTTATACAGCCGTTGTACACTCAGCAGCAATCTTTCTTCCCCCGACTTGTGAAAATGTGCATCTCCATCCTGCCTATCTTTAGTAGCCACACCCCCATCACTGCCTCCCATCTGTTCATATCAGTACACAAATACAAGAATGACTTATGGCAAGTACAGTTAAAATTCAGTGGAGCATCGCTGTGTATCACTTGGGTGCACCAACACTAAATTTGCCAGAAATCTGTGGTTTTACTGAAGAAAGGCGAAGTGAGGAAGGCTTAAATATAACGTGGCATTTCCAGAGTAGGATATCTTGTTCAGACTTGAGAGATGTGATTAAAACATTTCTGTCTAGTAGCAAGTAACTGCATGGGATGTTTTTTCATTATCATGCTCCAGTTTCCTTAGGGACTGCATTGTCCCATATAGCTCTTTATTCTTTACACTTTTTGATCTAAACCACCCAATTGTTTCAGTCAGTCAACAGCTCCAGGGATGCTCTTACACCCAAACACTACATATTTGTTGCAAGCTGTATTCCATTGTCCATCAATGATGGGAATTCCTCATTTGTAACCATGACAGTTAAAATTACACTGAGTGCTCAGTGAATAGCAAACTTGTGATAGATGATGACTCAAAAGTTACAGAAAGAAATTACATTCCACATGTATGATCTGAAACATGCCCCAGATGAGTCAATGCTAGCTGGTTTCATAACCTTCTTCTCCCTTTTTTTTCTTTCCATAAAATCATGTCTGGTTTCAATACAAGTGGTACAGACCCACACATGCTCTCTGTAGTGCTTGGCAGCTGTAGCCTGCTGTTCTCAGCACTGAAACCACTGCATTAAAGTTGGCTGCAATGTCACACTTCTGGCTGCACAACCAAAGGCCATTTACTAAAAGCCAAAAATGCAGTCTTTGGGCAAAAGAAAGCTTACAGGCTCCTAGCCAATCAGGATAAGAAAGTAGAAACAAAGGACAATGCAGTGAGACTGCTGTGTCACTACTGTTTAGCAACAGGTCAAAGCTCTTTTAGGAAAAAAAGCACTGGCAGGAAAAGATATGAGAAAAGAAAGAGAAGACAGCAGCTCAGCCAGACTGAAAGTCAGGCTGTTTCAAGGTGCCGTGGGGACTGACACTTCCTTGATGACAACCTCTTATCTAGCAGAGTTTCCTTGACTGACTGTACCGTGCACCATGAGTTTATCAGGTTTACACTTATTAGCATGCTTGCCCCACCCTCTCCTGTGTGTACATTAATCATATACCTAAGTTACATCTCTGGGGATTTTTTCAAGTCTCTGTGATTGGTAGAAGTTTTTGAAACAGATTTAACCAAAAGATCTAAGGATTACATAGCCACACTAACCTCAAATCTTGGGTCACTTTTATTTGCATATTTTACCAAACTATAAATTAATGCTTTATGTAAACTCCTGTCATTAATAAACAATATAATTATTGTACTTCTTTTCACTCCCCTTCCTCATTTTCTCAAACCTCTAGCTGTTTGAAAACCTATACAGATGATTCCTCCAGCCTCCCTACTCCTGCAAGGACAGTTCCATATTTTCACTTTGAACTTGTAAGCCTGTTCACCCATCTCAATCCTAACTTCACTGTAGTCAACACAGCTAAAAATGTAGCAAACTAGTGTTAAAGGAAATTCAGATTCTGTGTTTGCATATTTAGAAGCCTGGAATATCTGATAGTTCCCAAGGAGAGTAAAATTTAATTTTATAAGGACAGTAAATCACAGAAAAATATAGCAGGAAATAGCAAGAGTGATTTGACTTAAAAAAACCCCACAAAACCAACCAACCAAAAACCAACACCAAACCTATTTCACAAAAGCTCTTAATTCTGAGTGTTGGAACTAACTCTCCAAGTGAGCAACAATAGACTCAAACCCAGGGCTGCTCAGAAGTCAACAGAATAAAAGGTCTTTCTGTCTTCCTACAATTACTAACTGTTCTTCAGTTACCCAAAACAAGACCCAGCTGGTGTGCATGTTTACATAGCACAGAGATGAACACAAAGGAAAATAAAATCTAGTATCTCAAGCATATTATTTCTCTTAAAAACACGGACATAATTAAAGAGAGAATCTTGACCTTTGATTCAATAAACTGCTAAAGCCTATGTTGAACTTCACCCATGAGCAGAAGGCCTATGAATTTAATAAATTAATCAAAAGCTAATAATGTGCTAGAGGGCCTTGCTGTGTAAGAATACTATGGCACTGATAGGACCTAGTCCAGA